CGACAAGTTTTGGACTGAAAGTACGGTGAGACCAGTGGGGGGGGGAAGCTGATCACTGAGAGCTTTTTTTGTAACACTTTGCTTCATAGGATTTGTGTGAAAAATACAAAAACTGCTGCCTGTGGGCTTCGGCTATAACTTGTCTGGTTAATAAGGGTATGCAGTTATGAGACAGTAATTCTAGTTTGATTCTGCAATGTACCGAACATTAAGTATAATGTCATAAATAGTTTTATAAATCATTCACTGTTGGTTAACGTATTTTGAGTTGCAGTGTCCTGTTGTTGTTTTTTAATTTTTAATTATTTCTTGCCGCAGGTGTGACTTGTGTGGGCGCTCCTATCGCCATGCGGGCTCCCTTCTCAATCATAAAAAGACACACTCCGAAAGCCTCCACCACTGCACCTTGTGTCTCCAAACATTTCCCGATCCCGTCACTCTGCAGATACACTCCCAGATGAGGCGTCACTGCTGCCCCGAGTGTGGCAAGACCTTCTGTCTGGTCACCCACCTACAGAGCCACATGGAGGTGCACTCAAAGGACCAGGTTGTGGTCTGCAGCTTGTGCCAGCAGAGCTTTCCCGACGCAGCCAGCTATCAGGAGCACCATAACATGCACCACGTGGCTCAGGACCACTACCAACAAGACCAGGATGACGCTATAGATAACAGCCTCTGCTGGGACTCAGGAGTCAGTCAGTCCATGGGAATGGGAGGGATGCACAGTGAAGTTCCACCACCTTTGTCCCATATTCCAGGAAGCATTCCTAATTCAGAGAAGAACAACAACACTTCTGCGACAGAGGAGAAGAGCCACGTCTGCGAGCACTGTGGGCGTACTTACCGTCACGCCGGCTCCCTCCTCAACCACAAGAACAGCCACAAGACGGGCTCCTTCTTCTGCTCAGTGTGCCAGAAGGAGTTCACCAACCTGATGGCCCTGAAGAACCACCGACGGATTCACACAGAGCCCAAGCGCTACCAGTGCCTGGAGTGTGGGAAGGCGTTCCGGGTGTCCACTCAGCTCATATGTCACCGAAGGATACACACCAAAGAGAAGCCTTTTGCCTGCCTGCTGTGCGACAAGAGCTTTTCCAGCAAGTCCAACCTGCGACACCATCAGAAGATGCACCAGAACACCCAGACCTTCGACTCCTCATTTAACATGGATGCTAATGCATTTATGGACCTAGACATGGGGTCTTTTCTTTAAAGAAGTACTAAATAGCATATAAAAGAAGAGGACATATGGTCCTCATATGCTTGTGTTATTTATCCCTCAATCAGTAATTGTAAAACAGTATTTATTTTTTTTCAGAAAGTGCTCCTTGGTTCTAACAGATGCTCCTTTGAAGATACGCACTTTTCATCACTGACTTCCAGTCTTACCTCCAAAAAAAAAACAGATGGTTACATCAATGGGACATCTCCAGAGGGATTGTTAGTCAGCTTTTAATAAGGCCTGAATGTTTCCCATGGATACACGGGATCCCTTAAAACCGGGCAGGTGATGAAAACATTAGTATTCGCTCATTCCTCAATGATCAACCAACCAACCAAAGTGAACAGAGAAGGTTCATGTAAGAACATAAAGCTGATGACACATTTTTGTACAACAGTACTGTTATAACTCTCGCTATGTATAATTGTGTTCAGTGCCTCTGTGAGTTCCATAGGAAACTAAATATACAAACTGTATATAACTCTGAATCTTTTTGTTAGCTCTGCCATCAGTGTTGAGGGACTGCTCGCCTTCCTCATATCAGGCAGACCGGTTAATTTTAAGTCAAATACCTCTGGGTGTGTTGAAAGGTCAAAGTGATTAACTGAAACCATATTACGAAATAAATAGTCGTACTGCTAATAATATTCAATATTCACATTCACGTCGAGTGACATCGTATGCTAAAATGGATGTATTTATTAATTTATTCTTATTTTTATTCGCATATTTTATTAGGGAAAACTTTCTGAATGTTGTAAAAGCTGTCTTCTAAAACTCATGTAGCCTTTGAGGGATTTCTCATCAGTCGATTGGTTACTCATTAATTTTCAGAATAGGCAGGACCGAGCGAGCCAAGGATGGTGTGTTATTGTTAGCACTCAGGGTTAACCTTTAAAAGGAACGTACCTGATGTGTAATACATTCTAGAAAATCTGTTCTCAAACTGAGCATAGTTGTTTTTGGGTTGTGTTGTTTTTTTGTCTTTCATCTTTGAAAAGCATCAGTCACATTTCAGTGCCAGTGCCTAAAACGTACATTGATTGTAGCAGTTTGATGTTAACAAACCTCCTCTCACTGAGCGTTTTACTGTAAATGTTTTTTTCTTTTTATAATGGTAAATTTAATTTAATTGTAAATTTGTTTAATGTATCTTTGGACCTGGATCTCCTCAGTTCTAGTTAAACTTTCATTAAAACAGTCGACACTAGCATTGCACCCATGCTTATGGAAACAGGCAACAAATTAAAGGAGAAACCAACATGATTGCTCAAGGCCCTAAAGTGAGAGCTCTGACACCATCATTTTTATCCTCATCAAAACATTCAGTGACCCCCCACCCACACCCACCCACCCCTCTTGGGGCAGTATAACGCATCACCTCTAAAGGAACAAGAAGACCTAAACATACCAGAAACATTGCCCACCACTTTATATGAATGAGACTGGATCCCTCTGCTGCAGGGATATTTTATTTTTCCTTTTTTTCGCCTGTCTGTCCGCGGCCATAATGCCTCATTTCTACTAAGCACAATTATTAAAATACAAACTTACCAGAACTTTATTTATAGTGAAAACCGGTTTCATATTTACTGTTCATAAACCTGTTATTGTTGCAAGATGTGCAATTATTTTATTTTTTTTTACTATTCTTGGTCAAGTTGTGTAATGTGCCTGTTTTGTTTTTTTTCTTACAATTTAGATGTCTATCAAAAGTAGACATGCAGGATTTGTTTTTCTAACGTTTTTTTTTTTTTTTCTTTTTGTTTGGCACTGGTCATAAAAGCATGAAATACCTCGAATGCCCTGCCTTCCTGACAGACTGCTACTTAAATGCCTCATACAGCTTATCAGTAGAGAATACACTGTAATCGCACAGATAAAGCATCAGACTTAGGGCTTTTAGTTTGTGCAGTTTCCTCCTCACCGCGGTCGTCTGTTTGCAGTTTGTGGTTTTCAGATTTCTATTTGCACATGTGTAGACGACACTTGTAGCCTAAGGAGGGCCATGTTGACAAGCGACAAGTCGGCTGCTTGATGAATCACCTCAGCTAGTGTGCGGGTCGTAACGTTTTAAGCAATATGCTGAAAGTATTGTTTCAGTGCACGAGTCGAGTGCGTCTCATTTGTCTTAACCATTGTATGGAGTCGAGCGGGATCGGATTCAGTATACTGATTCTAATATCACAGCTTGCCTTGTGCCATGTTGTTACATTTTTTAAAGTCATTGTGTAACAATCGTAATAATTTAACTGACCTCACTGTCAGATTTTATTTTTTATTTTTTTGTATGCCACAGTAGCCTGTAAGATGTCAAACGATACATGCACACTTGAGTTAAACTGACTTGTTTTTGCACCACATTCTCGGTCTCACCTCATTTGGCACTTAACCTTTCGCACTGACCTGTCATTGATCACTATCACAGTCTGCTGTTGTGGTTCGTGTTTAATTTCAGTGCGCTGTATATATTAGAACAAAGATGATGATGATTGGATCTCTGTAAATTTATTTAATGTTTTTTTTGTTTTTTTGCATTTTCTTCAACAGAAGAAAACTGCTAGATTAGCTATTGTGTAATAAAAATACATATACCACATGTTCTCATTTATTGGATTTCTGTGTTAAAATATATATCTGCTTAGTATTTAATATTTATATAACTATTTTGTCACTC